CCCGGGATCCTTTGGTTAAACAGAAAAATACTCTGCTTATGAGATGGATTGCACAAATTATTTCAGTGCTTGTTGCATCAAGTACTGCCTTGGGAACTGCAAGGCAGAATTGGTAACCCTTTACATACAGCGTGTACAGACCACGTGGTTATAACCAGACCTCTGTCAGCAGCATGTTAAAGAGAAGAGCAACTTTGCAGAGAGGTTGTTCTGTGATGGTTCTGTATTTACACTGGACATGCATCACCCCTCAGGTTAGATACACCCTCCTAACTTTAAATGCTCTCTTGCAGGGAATAACTCAAGCTGCAACTTACATCTATCGAAAACTAATAAATGATGGAATTTTAAACCAGGCTTTCACAATTGCTCCAGTAAGTTCCCTTCCAAATAATTTGGTTTGCCAGAAAAATGACACGAAGCTTTTCCTGTGTCCATCTAAGTTTGTGTCCTCTTTCTCTCTTAGGAATATAAACTTGTGATAGTTGGGCACAGTTTGGGTGGTGGGACAGCAGCTATCTTGGCCATCATGCTCAGGAACTCCTTCCCCACACTGAAGTGTTACGCCTTCTCTCCTCCAGGAGGGCTCTTAAGGTAAAGACACTTCTCTTGTTTGGTTCTAAGATGTAAAAGTCTTCCAGGTGGTTGACAGGTGTGTTGGATGGTAACGTGGCCTTGACTGTTTGTCAGTTTGTTTGTATATTCTTCACTAGAATGATAACTCCATCTTGAGTCGAGTTCCTGGGGGAATGTTACAGGATGAAATACATCTAGGGAATTCTGTCAGGTTGTGTAATTACAGTTTAAAAGAAATGTTTCAGAAATAAAATGCTCACCAGACTTGTCTGCCTTGGCCTGTGTGACATGTACAGACCCCAGCAGCATTGAAGTTACTCTCATCTTTAGCAAGGAGGTCTGAAAGCCCACTGAGGCACTGACTGCAAATGCTGCTGCTGCAGCCACATACTTGTATTTTTATTGAGTGATAATCCTCATCCTGAAACTAAAGTGTGCTCATCTCTTTAGTGCATCTAAACTGCATCTTTTTTTTTTCTTTAAGCAAATCACTTGCAGATTACACCAAGCACTTCATTATTTCAGTCATTGTCGGAAAAGACCTCGTTGCAAGGTGAGTTGGAAAAACTTTTAAATCTTCAGAGATGTGTTTGATTGCAGAGAAGAGGAGGCTTTGCTTTGCTTTGTTCTGTGTGTTTGAACAGGTTAAGTATGCCCAACATGGAGGATTTGAAGAGGAGAATTGTGAGAATTGTGGCAAACTGCAACAGACCCAAGGTAATACTGCAGGTCCTGGTTAAAAGTCAGTGGAGTGGTTACCTGGGTTCAGCCCCAGCTTTAATGGGCAACTACTGGTGTGTGTATTTCTGATCTTAAAGATGAGAGTTACAATTGTGTTTTGGAACAAAAGTGTTTTTAATTCAGGGACGTTTGTGTTACTCTCCTGTCTTGTAAAGCTGTATTGTTGGAAATTAAGATTCATCGAGACCTGGAAGATATCAGTGCTCAACATCAAAGACCTGAAATTATTTCTGCAGTGTTACTGTAGGCTTGGGTTACACACTGCTGAAATGAAAATTGCTGTGGAGAAAATTCAGTCAGGAGAGATTATCAGTGTGGGGAGCATCTGCAAACAGTAACATGTAATCTTTTAACTGTTAGCCCCAGATGACGTGTGTGCAAGCACACAGGTAGAATAAGTTACTTGAGGAGATGCCAAACCTCCATTTGACATCTTTTCTCTCTGATTTCAGTACCAGATTTTGCTGAGGGGCTGTTGGTACGAGGTATTTGGAGGAGATCCTGATGACTTCCCCACGGAGCTGGATGGGAGGAACCAGGAAGCGCTGAGCCAGCCCCTTCTGGCCGAGGAGAGTTTAATGGTTCATCGCTCACCCTCATACAACACCCTGGAGGATGAATCACACCAGAATTCACCACCTCAGTATCCTCGTCTGTATCTTCCTGGAAAGATTATCCACATTGTAGAGGAATCCAGCTCTCGGAGGTAAATAATGAGTGCCACTGGCCTGTGTTCCTAAAGCCTGCTTAAAGCTGCTGCTCACTTCCAAAGTACATTTCCAGCTCTGTGATGTGTCTGCATCTCCACCACCCCTTCCTGGTTCTTGCCCAGCCTCTCAGTTCCTATTCTGTGCCTCTCAGCTTCAAGCCCTGGGCACTGTTCCTCCCTGTGCCTCATCTGCAGGTGCTGAAGTGGGGATTGTAAACACTAACACTGTTCAGTTGGGCTTTGCCAGACTGCAGTTCCTGCCTGAGTCTTAGTCCTGGTGGTAGTGAAGTGATACCAAAACACCTTGTTACTGAGGAGTCACACGAGTGTTGGGGATGAGAAAGAGGCCAAATATTGCCAGGCTGGAGAAGTGCAGCTGCCCCAGAACAGTGGGTGCTCACACAGCCTCTGATTCCCTGGCCTTTGCTGCTTTTCTGTGGCTGCAGGAAGTTGAGACAAAGACAGCAGAAAGCTGAAACTGCTGGAAGGGTGAGGATTGTGGCTTTGTTGGGGCAGTGTCACGTTCAGGGATTTTTTTGTGTGTTTTGTTGATGTTGGGTTTTTGTAGACAAAGCAACGTGAAACCCCTAAGCCAGACAGGCCTTGATATCCTCTCATTTCATTCTTCTGAAAGAGAAATAAAAGCATCTGTAATTTGCACAAGACCATCTTACAGAATAAAAAAGAAATAATGCCTTACAGAGAGGAAAGAGTTGAAAAAGAAATCATTCAGTAGATCACTATTTTATTTAAGCTTCACATCTTTAATATTTAATGATTTTAATATTGGTTTTACAAGCTGGATACTTGAACACCTGGGGCCTGACAGGTTTTCTCTATGGCTACTCCTCTACTTTATTTTTATTAATTTCTTTTCCATCTTTTACTCCACAGCACAGCAGTTAATCCTGTGGGGTTTTTTTAAGATGGATTAGGACACAAGAGCCCCCATCATGTATTTGGGATTTTATTTTACAGAATGGTGCATCATATGTGCAGCATTAAATCCATTGCTTGGACTCCTAATGATACCACTGTGACTTATTCCCTAAATTTGACATTACCCGTGTGAATGTGCAGTGTTTAACCCCCTCCCTCTCCTTGCTCAGACTGTATTCCACGTTTCTGGGAGCAGGATTATTTGCTCCTCTGATGGCTTCTTTCCCAGCTAAGGCCCAGTGTCATTCGGTGTCGTTCTGCCTTCAGAGACACCGAAAGGCAGCATTTCCAGCTGTTTGCTGAAGGTCAGACCTGCAGCTCTCGGGGAGCCAACCTGGGGCTGGGAGAGGCTTCCTGAGCAAGGTCAGGAAGCTCCAGGTTGTCTGTTCCAGACCTGGCAGTGTGAGCCGTTTGTGGTGTGTTTTTTTTTCTAGGTTGTGTTCTTCAGACATCAAATACACGGCGAGATGGTCAAACGAAACAGTCTTCAGCAGCATTTTAATCAGTCCCAAGATGATCACAGACCACATGCCAGACGTTGTGCTCAAAGCTCTGAACAGTTTGTCTCAGGAACATGGAGGGTGTCTGTCCTGTCAGCCCCGAGAGTACACCCCCGGTGCAGTGTAACACGGCTCGGGCAGGAGCTGGGGGGCTTTCTTTGCAGCTTTCAGGTATTCAGGACACATTCCACTTTCATGCCTAAGTGGATTTCAGTACTTTTCTCACACTGCATAAAAGGAACAAGGGTCTTACGGCCCTTGCCTCTGCAGCGACCTCGGGGAATGTTGTGCTGGCTGAAGCACCAGGTCTGTCTGTGCTGGGGTTGGGCTCTCCCCAGCGGATCAGCCCCGGCCGAGCCGTGTGAGCCGACACAGTGAATGTGTGCGAGGACGTGGCCCTGCTGTCCTTACCAATCCAAACATCCACTTCTGCTTCCAAGTCACTTCATGCCGTTGTCTGCACCGGCCCGACCTTTGGGAAGCTGAGGGCACTGCAGGGCTGGAGGTGGGAGTGCTGCTGCAGCTCAGGGCTGGAGGTGGGTGAGAGGGCCGGCCCAGGCCGGGTCTGGCTCAGGCTGTTCTCAGTGATTGCACTATTTTTCTTACAGGTTGTGCTGGTATCCCAGGCAGGGGGTTGTTGTGGTTCAGTGCTATTTGAATATACATGTGCAATACTCTTTAATCTGTCTTTTGTATTTGTTGATCCACATCACTACTTTTATTGATTTTAAACTAAAAACTACTTAATGAGAAGATAAAAAACCCCATTGTCCAGACCCTGGCATCATCTTGGTCATTAGCTCCAGCTCTGGCTACTGAGCGTGGATCCAATTCTGCCAAAAATGTTATAACCAGTTGTACTGCTTTTAAAGAAGTGGATTCCTTGTTTTAGTGTGTAACTATTTTAACTTTTTTTTCCTTTTTAAAGCTCAGCAGCATTTATTTTAAAAAAAATAATTATGTAAGTAACGTGATGTGGTTGAGAATTAACTGTGTGGATGTTCTTGCTGTGATATTCAATATGGAGACAGAATTAAATACACAATAAAAACTTGGCTCCTGTGAGATGACAGGTACCAGGGATGGCTGTGCAGGGACCAGGCTGCTCTTGGGGTCCTTGCAGTGTCACCCCCAGTGCCCCTGGGTGGGGAGGGCAGGGCAGCAGATTCGGGTGCAGCTACTCTGGAGAGAGAGGAGCCAACACACAGAGCACGGCTGGAATTAAAAGGCTGGGAATCTGGGGCATTTAAGCACAAACTGTAACAGTTTGAAAGGAAAAGCACTTTTGTTTGCAGACAGTGGAGTGGAACGGAGATCCTGCCCCAGCAGCTTTGAACCACTGCCCAAGCAGCAGCAGGAGCTGTAACAACTGCAGGGAGAGTGCAGGGCCTCTGCAGAACTGCTGCCAAGTGCTGTGTTCAATTCAGGTTCCCAGAGCAGCCCTGACAGGCTCTGGTTTGCACACACGGCCTGAGGAGACACGAGCAGAGGACAAGAATGAGACACGTGCTCAGAAACTCAAACATCACCACAAGTGTGATTGAAGGATTTATTAATTCTTACATGCAAAACATTCTGCTAATCGCATTAGCAAAAGATCAATGTAAAAACTTCACAATTTTGCAACTTTTAAATTTTGCTTTAGTGGTTGAAAGGGTGTAGTTCAACATCGTATTCCTGCCAGTTTCGAAGGTACAGAACATTAGCACTAATTACAGAACCTCACAGACCCGTTACCGTTACAATCTATGCTGCACACGGAGTGACAGAGAACACTTGGCTGCATTAGTCATGTTACACTGGGGGGGATCTTGCAAATAGTGACACTTGAGAAGGTTTGTCGTTTACAAGAGGTTTAAAATATAAAAATTACTAAAATGTCTAAAGCTGCTTCACATGATTTTTACACCTAGTTAATAGACTAAAAGCTCAGAAAGCATAACTTACTGGGTCAGAAATAATGGGAAAATGAGGATATGCTTGAACATTCTACTCTATAAAAGAAAAAGAAAGCAAATTTCTATCATCAGAAAGGTTTTTAAAATACAAGTTATATTGCTCTGTAAGAAGAGATTCTACAAGAAAAGCATTTACTACATATAAGTGGGAATGACTGGTCCAGAACTGAACCTACATGAATGCCCTACTTGAAATTCAAAGGAATTTACCTACGAACACCAACCTCTCTCCACTACTGCACCTCTGGGAAAATGGTGGCTGAGCTACCCTGGCAGTGTAGTGTAAGTCATCTGTACAGTGTCAAATACTGTCTGGCACTATTGTCTGATCCAACCCAAAAACTCCATTTATCCATCACAACACAATGCTGTCAAAAGGACTAGATACACGTCAGTAAGAATAGTTATTTATTTTTTTTTAAATCACAGCAGCAAGAACTAGATTGCAACCAAGCCCTTACCAATGATAAAGCATTTACACTGTGACTCAGGGGTGTCAGTCACTGCCTGGGTTGGGGTTCAACACCCACCCCCAGGCAACGGCTGCACTGAGAAAACATGGAATAACAAAACACGGCCGAGCGCAGTGCTCTGCTCGGTCCCGGTACTGTTACTGTGAAAAACTAGAAAGATTTCGCATCTCCTACCAGAAATTAGAGTCATTTTCAAGAAGAATCTTTAAAAAACGGTTTAGTGCTTAGTGTTCGTAGCACAACAAAGCAACTTAGTTCAGCAGATAAGTTTGGCAACACTTAATTGAGCAAGAAGAGGATTTTAAAAATAAGGCTTCACATAGGTGTGTTTTCAAGAGTTTGCTCTTAGAAGAATGCAAGGTAACGATCATACTTTAAACAAATGAAACCATGAAATTGTCAAAATTTATGGTAGAGAACTAATTTATAACAGAAAAACTTGGCATGTGAATGCTTCATTGTTTGAGCAAAGCACTGGGTTGATGGGGTGGGGGAGGGGGATGTTTACAGCAGCAGACATTTTCTCTTCCTCTTCTTTACAGGAGGGGGGCACAGCACTGCTCGAATGGCTTCATCAAACACTGTCTTGAGGCCTCTCTGCGTAAGTGCTGAGCATTCCAGGTATTTCACTGCGCCTGGGGAAGCAAAGGCCCAGTTACAAAGCAGTTTCCCACACAAAGCTGACCCCACACCAAAGGCCAGGCAGTTAATTTGATTAAGGTACAGCTTCTTTCGCAAACAAAATCCAGCTGCAGCCAAAAACCACCCCAGAGGCTCCTACCGATCTCTTTGGCCATAGCAAGGCCCTGTGGGTAGGTGATGGGAGTCAGCTTCTTCTCCTTCAGCTTCTCAATGGTGTCCTTGTCATCCCGCAGGTCGAGTTTGGTGCCCACGAGAATGATGGGGGTGTTGGGACAATGGTGCCTCACCTCAGGGTACCACTGCAAAAACAAAAGAGTGTCTCTTGTGTGGGGGCAGATTTCCACAGAGGCCCTCGACTGTCACCCCTGGAAGGCTCACAGTCCTTCCTGGGTCAGTCAGTGAAGGGGAGCACCAGGATCCATCAGGGCAGGATCAGAACAGGTTAAGGTTGTTAATGAAGCCAACAGCGACTTCCATGTTTTAAAAATGCACCCCATTAAGGGCTGTATTTTCCTCCCACACCAGAAGAACCCTGACCCTTGCCCACGGAGACCCCTCCACGTGCTGAGCAGCTGAGCTGCCCACGAACACGAAACGCTGCAACACTCACAGGGCACGTGCTGGAACGATGCTGATGGAAGGAACAAGTGCCATCAACCTGCTTTTTACAGGCATTTGTTCTTAAACTTTTTAATTGTACTGAAGGATCACAAACCGCTGTTTGTGATCTCAGCACCTTGTTGACTGAACACTCTTAGATAACTGTTACCCCATCAATGCATCAAGGAACAACTCATACTTGGAGTGTTTCATGTGCCCTGAATTTCCATGACTCACAAGGGAGGCAAATCCATTTCTGCCTTTTCAAAAGACATTTCACAGTGCCTGTCAACAATTAAAAAAAAAGAAGCACCTAATAATTTTCTACCTCTGTTGGAAAGTAAACAGAATATGAACATTCAGACATAAAGCAGTCCCAGCTCATCCTTACCTTAGCACGGACATTTTCAAAGGATGCTGGGCTCACGAGGGAGAAGCAGATTAAGAAGACATCCTACAAAACAAGTTGACAGCAGTCAGCCCAGCAGAGACATGACTGTAAGCTCTCCTGAACAGGCTGATATCCCCAGTACCTCTGTCACACTGTCAGCTCTGTCACACTTGCAACAGCAAGGTCAGCGATAGAGCTGCACGGGACAATCAGAGGGAGCTTTCCCGGCGGGAAATCCTCTCCCAGGCAGCCCCAAAGAGGGGGGAAAACAAACAACAAATAGATTGCAGTCAAATTTATAATCAGCTATTGCAGTAGCCAGCAACTGGGACACAACATCGCTGCCTTGCACGGGGTTTTTTCCTCTAAATGTCATTTCTTCTTCACTGACAGGGAACTCATCAGCATTGGATGCTGCAAAGTGTTAACTATCAATATACAACTCTAAAGTACTCTTAAATTGCAAAGGCCAAGTGTACAGTATGGAATGGGGGAAAAAAATTACATGAGAATTTCTACAATTATTACTTCCATGCCCAAATCAGAAGAATCTTGTAAAGCTTCCTCAGAACCTCTTGTAAAACTTCACTGCTGAATGTCAGTATAAAAAAGATTTCAGAATTTCTCTATAACTACATTAGGATTAAGAAGGGCATTAAAAGAAAATCTCAAAGCTCCCTCCTTTCCTTTCTAAATAAAGTGATGGCAAAAAGAAAAACAGGTGTTTTTTGGGGATCTTGCACGTGTCGCTTTTCAAGTGAAGGCAGAAGATTCTGAGCAGGTAAAAACATTTCAGAGCGTGTTTATGTAACTGCAGGACACACTTCAGAAAACAAGGAGCTTCCCTGCTGACACACTGCAGTCTGCAAGCACTCAGAACAACCCCCAGGTTCGTGTCTCTGTGCTGATGAAGGTTAGTCTCGCTCTACGACCCAAAACTCATCCACTGTCTCTCAAACGACCCCGACTTTCCCCAACCTACCTCTGCATCCGACCTTACTCCGGTCCCACCCGCGTTACAGAATCAGGCATTGCAGGGTTAGTTGATTGGGCTGCATTTCAAGGCATTTGTTAGGTCAGCAGCTCACATCTGCACTGCTAAGCACTTGCAACCCAGTTGTTCATGCATCACCCCAAGTTTCCGTAGCAGCGTCCCAGAAGAAGAAAGAAACAACATCAAATAATGTGATACTATGGCCACTACTTCTGTTTTCCACTTTTGCAGGTTTGTGGTGACTCAAGTGCTGCACATCACGCAGACTCTCTCCTTTACTAGCTCCAGAGATCAAAAGGTGTGCTGTAACCACCAGGAATTACTGGGAGATCTCAGGTGTCTTGCACACTACCAATCTTAAGTAGGAAAAGCTATTTATTTGTAAGAAAATATTTCATCTTAGCCATATAAAGAAAATTTGATAACAGACTTCTCACATCTAGGAATCTGATAGTTCCAAGAAAAGTAGTTGTTCAAAAAATAGGGGCCAATTTATCACTATCATAAGCAAGACAAGATGACAGAACTTGGAACTGAGGTTTATTTAAAGTTTTACATACGGCAATAGGTTCATCTGTCAGACTGGAATGTATATTCTTACCATTGGTTCCTCCAACCTAATAACAGTAGGAGATAAAGTTACTCCTCAAATGGATTTAAGGGAAAACGTTCTCAGTCAGCAATTTGTGCTCACAGATGTTCTCAGGGTGGATTTTCTTCTTAAGAGAGACGCTGCCCTGTAACCAGCACAACCAACTCCCTGCACCCAGGACAGCCACACCTTCCCAGAAACCACTGCCAGGGCAAACCTCCCCTGCAGAGCCTCCTACTAACAACTGCTTTTTGGTTTGGTCCCCTGAAGAAACAAGGTGAACTTATTCTGTCCCAATTTCCTTCCCCAAGTATTTGGAAACACTGGTAGATCTGGGATAAATTCAGCAGGAGGTGATAAATTCCTGTTTATTTTAAGGAATAAAAATATGAGTAAGGGGAAAAAATACAGATTAATGCAAAGCCCTCACTGGGAAGTTCCCAGCTGGTGCTGCTGGGTGGCTGATCCCAACACACACTGCCCAAGTAACCACCACCTGCTGCTCTCACCCTGCCCAGAGCACAGTTCAGGTGCACAGACAGGGAAAGGGGGCACAAAGAACACGCAGGGGGTGAGTTTTAAATAGCCCAGTGAAGGAAGAGAGAGGCTGAACACACATCCTAAAAAAAGGTCAGGCTTCATCAGCACCACTGTTCTCTGTTCTCTTCCTCTGTGCTTTTTTGGCAGTTTCGTGGGGGTGATGAATCTCACACTGCACGAGGCTAAAATCTGCAGATTGCTTCACTAGAAGTTCAAGACTTACCCCCCTGCTTCATTTTCTGCTGCAAAGCAATAATCTCAATAACTGAGAGTACTTCAGACCTGTACTTAACAGTTATACCTGCTTGAACAGAAGACGTTTTCTCCACCAGATGGACATGGAATTCTTTTGCAGTCCACCAGAAAGTCACAGTCACTCAGCAAGCTGCAGACAGGCACGTGCATTCTGCCCCTTTGTCACAGGGCAGGAACAGTCTGTTCCCTCACAACTCGACTTTCTCACACTACTAAGTATCTTTCAACAAACCTCTTTCTTCCCTGAGATACTTTTTAGAAAATACTTTTATTTAGGAAAAATTAAGCGAAGATGAGGCTTTAATTATCCTAAAAATATGTAAGTATTAGAGGAAAGCAGCTTTCCATTGTCTCTCTTCCCAGGAGAGACAGGTATTTCTGCATTTCAACTACAGCTGCCCACAACTGGCAGGTTCACATCCATCATGGGTATTGTTACTGAGGGGAAAGCTTAACAACTGTAAGAGTTAGTGAGCAGTGAATTAGGGAAAATCGTGAATGAAGGCAGTTTACTAAAAATAGCACCAGAGTTCCTTAAATAAGATCCACATTACTCAAGAGAGCAGTTATGCTGCAGGTAAGTGGAACAATGTTGCATTTTACATTGCTAGCACTGAACACATATTTGACAGGTAACAACAACAGTAATCAATGCCAAAAAACCCCTGCAAGTTACCCTTTCTTTACTTGTAGCACAGCTCCACCTGGTAAAAATCACTGCTCTAAAGAGGTTGGAAAACCAGCCTCTACAAAGGTTAGCTGTAGCTCAGGTTGCACTGGAAGGAAGAGAGCAGATCCCTTCAGCGTTTTCCCTAAACAGGGAAAGATGCAGGATGCAGGAAGGACTTAACCAGCTGCAAACAGGGAAGACAGAAGCACATTTGTACCCACGTTACAGCACAAACTACAGTAAGGCATGAAATAGCCACGGGCTCAAGTGCATTGGAACGCTGGGCCTCTGTCAATACCAATAATCTCTTCATTCAGTGCTGCCTCTTTCACACGTAGAACATCTTCAGAGGCTGAACAATATCAAGTGCTTAGCAGTGACAGTGTCAGGTTGCAGCCAAAACGTGCCTAAAAACTAAAACAAACCCTGCTTTTGGCAGGCAGGCTAACCTTGGAATCAATGGCCTGGCTGATGGGACTATTCACCAAGAGGGTTTTGTGTTTGTTTTGGGGTGTTTTTTTCTCTTTCCTTTTAAATCAAACATTCTGGCTGATTCTGAGGCTGCAACTACACAAATGCCAGCAAGTTCCAGGGCACACAGATACACAACCACGCAAGTTTTTTTAACTTTTGTAGAACTGTACACACATAAAAGGTTATAAATTACAGCTACAGCAAGTGAAGGAAAGGAGCCTGCAATACAACTCCAGGTGAGACAATGCTGGCCTGTTGTTCAAAAAGACAAATCCTTTGTGGCAGCCGAAGCTGCTGAGACTCTCTGAGGTTTCACAGTGCATCCTTACTGTTTGTGGGTAGGAGAGTGGACGTAGTCTGTCATAGTCCTCTTGACCAGCTGTGTCCCATAAACCCAGATTGACCGGTTTGCCATCAACCATTACATTGGCAGAGTAGTTGTCAAAACTGAAAACAAACAGAGAGTTGGCTGCATTAGTTGGCAGTAAAATAAGGCACCCAAGGACTTCCTCACAGAGGCTTAACTGGGGAAACTAGGGAAGAAGTTTATTGCATCCTTCTGCTCCCCAGAGACAGTAAAGCTGCTCTTTAAATAACGAGGCTGGTATTGGGTAATGGAATAAAAAAATATGCACAGCAAACTTGGTCCAGGCTGAGCAGGAGTCATCCCTGTCACGGCTCTTCCAAGGGAAGCGTTAATCCCAGTGGGCAGAGGAAAGAGGTGATGTACTTAGCAAGCACTTTCCAGCCTTAGTGGGACGTTCAGCAAGTTCATCTGTTTCATGTTGTAAGATTTAGAATAAAAGATACGTGAGCAGCAACCAAGGAATCCGTAATGACAGGAGCAGGTAAGAGAAAAGCTTATTAATCCTGCTAATCAAAACCCCCTCCAACGAAGTGTCAAAGCCAATAACCAGGGGCCAGTGGAGGCATCGTTTTTATCTCATCAGTACTGTGAGTGCAAAGGTTTTAATGACTCGTTAAGGCTCAACCACATTCACTGGGAACACAAGACACTGTAATGCAAAAATCTGAATTTAAGACCAAAAAAAAACCAAAGATGAGTAACTGAGGCAACAAGGCCTCGGCCAGGTAACAAAAGTCATCGGTACATCTCTTTAGAATGTATTTGGTTATCTGAAAAAGTCATCAAAATATAGAAATATCGGAAAAGGGCAAAGAGGCTGCTTGTGTATAAAACACCTGCCCCCAGCAGGCCCTCGGAAAGAGAACTGCACTAATTCCGATACCAACAAACCCGCCCGGGAAAGGGAATGGGAAGCACCAAAATAAACGAGACTCCACAGCCTCGCCCGAGGAGCTCCAGAGCTGTGGCTGGCTTAGCACAGCATTGGCAGCAGCACAAAAAGTGGAGAGAACAAACAAACAAAAAATCTCCAGCCATGCAAGCCAACTATTCCTGACTAGGATTTGATGTTTTACAAGCTGTTCAGCCTTGGGACTGCTTATAATGAATGGCATTAATGACAGAAACACTATTTTAAAAGAGAACAACATCTGATAAAATGTCAGCAAGTGTTCGTCCCTGTTCAGCCAGGGCAGAGGGAGCCAGAACTGAGGGACCATGAACGAGCTCTGGTGTGACTGGGCTAAGCAGCAAAAGCCCCAAGTGCTTCTCCCTACACACAGCTGGATACTCAGCTAAACATTTCAGATGAAACTGAGGGGCACTTGCAGGCAACTCAAACAATTCAGGTAAGGAATCTGGAGTGGCAGTGGGCACAGAGAAGTGGAGAGAAACGAGGTATTTAAAGTACTTACACGGTGGGTATGTACTCTCCAGGAAAAGCATTGGTTGTGTAGCTGATGAGCAGGCATGTCTTACCTACAGCACTGCAGAAACAGAAAGTTCACATGTAAAACACATTCACCCCCAGGAAAGAGAGACCATATTCCTTCGACAGGAAGAAGACTGATTACACCCAGTCACCTCAGGACCTGTCACCAGAGGAGTGTCAGCAGTCACCAGGCAGGAAACCAGCTGACAGACTGCAGCCTGAAGATAACTGGCCATGAAAACACACCTCATATAAGCATCCATTTTGTGAAGTCATAAATGACCACATTTTGTAAATGTTTAGACACAAAAAGCCAAACACAAGTATTAATAAGACTACTAACATCTGCTGGTCACCTGAGTGATAACCCATGTATTCTCATGCCTTACTCCAACTCCCTGAAACTGAAAAAAAATGAGAAGTATTTCCAGATACCCTTTACATAATTCCAAAAGTGTTATCTTTTCCAGAAAACAGCATACTTGCACATAAGTAAAGTTAAAGAAAGGTTGAAAAGCATAATTTCTCAACACATCTTTACTTTTGAGTATTTAAGGCACAAATACAAATGATGATCCCCACGTTATTTATTGCTATTGCAAAGTGACTCCCCATGTGCATTCACCAACTATTCAAACATTTCATGAACTGATTTACAGATAAATCACACTCCACTACTGGAAAACCTGGAACGCCAAACCCTTCCCTACTGATCTGATTCTCAACAGCCTCAAATGGGGGCAGGACAAGGTTCCTTTCACAAGTCTGGCAGCCAAACCCTTCCCTCTCCACCCTCCTCCCCACATCTTATCAGGAGTCAAACATCACATTAATGACACCTCTGAATTTTTTGTTGCAGTTGGAAAACTTGAAATTTTTTTCAAACAGACTCTGCAAAGAGTGTTCCTGGCAGTGCAGGCTTCCCTTGCAGGCTGCCCACTCGCATAATCCTTAAGAGTGTGAGAGATTCCAGGGGTGAGCATGCAACAGTTCCTCCAAGGGTACCAGAGCCTTGCAGCCCCATCCCTCCTCCTGACCAGACAAGCTCCCTGCAAGGAAAACTGCATTGTCTTGCAGATGTTTTATCACCACAGTGATCTGCTCCAAGTCAGCAGTAACTCTGGAACCAAACTGCACCTACACTGCGATCTCGCTATGAGCATCAGGTTTGACTCACGAGCCTCCTGAACTAAATCTGTCACACGTAAATTTGAGCTTTGTCACAACCTTAAGTCACAGCTCGCTCTCTAACAGGTCTCTCTGCTGAACTCCCAGCAGTTCCATGCTGCATTAGCCCAAGAAGGCATTTGACAGCAGCATCTGACAACATCACCCTAAACGATGAGCTATGGAAGAGTTGCTTCAGTGTGCAAAACCAGCTGGAATTTTGTCTTACATGCCCATTTTTAACTGTAATTTGTTCTATGTTTCTGAGCCAATGCCTACCATAACACCCCATCTGCTGCAACTCTCCCTGATCATACCATGCAGTTTTCCACCCTGTTTTTCACCTCCTTGCACAGCCTGAGCCTTTTTCCCTTTCAGCATGCACTCTTACCAAGCTATAATAACAACATAAAAGGGGACATTTAATTCTGTTCTCGTTAAGTAGAATCTCTGAACATTTCCCTGTAGTAACAGGCTTGAGATACACTTGTGCTCAGCAGCAGAAGATGGATTTACCCTTTAAAGACTTCTGTGGGAAAGAATGGGGAGCAGCTCACCCCGCAGATACCTATTTAACAGCTGTCAAGAGAGGAGAGCCCATCTCAGCTCCTGCACCAGCACTCCCTGACTGCAACAAGCCAGAACAGGGAGGGAAGGAAAGTTATTCCTCCCCCATAAGGACAACTTGCTATTTTAGCTGCCTGCTGGTGAGTTAGATCAGTTTGGATGTGCTGCTGAACTGCTCTCACAACACAGTCCAGGCAGCTACACTGGGCCAGCTCACAAAGGACAACCGGGAAAACCTTCAAGATCCCGAGAGGAGCAAGAGCCAAGCGCTGTGGGAAATTTCTTGCGCTGCAGAGACGTTCTCACGCTCCCAGAACCTGTTTGGTCTGACGCCTTCATTTTCCAGTTAGTTCATTACAGGTAATTTTAGCTTCTACCAAATTCACGTTGAACTCAGCGTTTTCAGTAGCAGATCAAGAACTTTTCTCTGCACCCAGGCTCCTTTGCTCACTTTGCACTGGGACTGGTGAGGGTGCTCTGGCTAATCACAACAGCCAGGAAGGTGGTGAGAGATTTCATTCCAAGCTCAGAAGTGCCTGTAGTGTGTTTCTGCAGCACCAATCAGCCAGAGTCATTTAAACAAGAAAAAACACGTCCAACAACCCTGTTTCAGACTTGCTCCATGCAGGTTTCCTGCTTTCCTTGCCTTTTGGCCCACTGCCCCACGAATCAGATCATTGTGGTCACCGGTCTTAAAAATAAACACTAATGCCTACCTTTATAAAGTACATCCCCTAAGTGCTTTATCAACTTTTTAAGAGTTCTAACTTCTGTATCAAAGCAACTCCCCTGAAGAGCATTCAAAATGTTTGGCAAAATTTAAATCTTTGCACATGAAGGCTGAGACTAAGAAACTAAAATAACACCAAGATTAGTCATAAGATTTCTAGCAACTACTTAATCACAGCTCTGTCCACCCACTATTACATAAATGAAACCAGCAACATTTGACTGTCATTAAAAACATGGCCTACAGAAATCCAGCTTCAAATGCTTAACAAAACTACCTTAACAAAGGACTGCACTGACTCCCTTTCTGGTTCTGGGCTGCAACCAGGAATCAACACACTCATATAACCACATATGGAATAACTGCTGAAAACAAAACATATCTTGTCATTCCTTGCCTTATATACACTAACAAATTCTATGAAATTTCCCCACTGCGTTGGAGCTGCTTGGAGCCATGTTTTATCTGCAAACAGGTGGCAGCCTTCAAAAAAAGCTCTGATTGTGCCATTTCTTCCTTTCTCTGCCCCACATGAACTACGTGTCTGGCAGACAGGGTGCACAACTGCTCAGCTCTTCACTCCACCACTGAACAGCAGCTGAGATTTCTCCAGTACCACCCTCAGACCAAGAGTTCAGGATTTGTGCTACAGTAGGTTTAGCTACACGCGGCTCTGCCAGATAAGCAGTGGGACACACCCTCTGTGACACACCACTCGGACACACCCTCTCCCAAATATGCTCTTCAGGACTTACAATGCTACTACTTTTAAAAAAACTCTAAAAAGTTCAGTAACACCAAGTCACTAAATTCCAAATTAAAGGCCAATTACCCTGCACCCCCTTCCCCTTCTCACAAGCCATCAAATCAAATGCAGTGTGGCTTTAGTACACAAGGCCTCAGACGAAGCAGAATTCCAAAGAGGGACTCCTAAATCACTGCCCTTGCAGTTATTTCTACAATTAAAAAATGCCTACAGAAGAGCATGAAGTGTGACCACTTCCATGGCATCCAGTAATTGGTGATTTCTCCAAAACACACAAACTCTCCTAACATTACACGACATGACTGGAGATTTCATACCACTCAACAGCTGCCTTTTTAGAGGGAAAACAAAGGCTGCTAAAAATAACTTCAGCATATGCTTTTTCTCAAGTGTCAATCACCAGCAATTCCTGCAGTTCCTCGAGCGGCTGCTCCTCATCTGTCCTGCACATTCCTGCTGCTCTCTATCACAGAGCTCAAAGCAACAGCTGCCCTTTCATTTTCCCCCAAACAATCCTCAGAGCGAGGAGGAAAAAACCAAGGGGACAACAGGACAGCCCCAGCAGCACACATGGCACGCTCTCCTAGCCAAACACACACCAGCCAAAACTCTAAGAACAAGCATGAGTTACATATGAGAAAGAGCCTACTCATTAACAAATGAAAAATTAATCACAGGTACTTCCAGAGCTCTGTTTAGTTTGTTCCCAGCAGATCGTTACGGAGGGGACACAAAACAATACCCAAGTTTTATGTTACACAAGGAAATCTTTAACTTGCATTGTTTCACAGGAACACCAAAGCTTTGGCCTTATCTAAGCCAAACATGACACATTTCCTAGAATACCTGTAGTGTTGGAGCTCTTGAAGCAGCAACAGTAAAACGACACACAAATAGTTAAATATTTTTAAAAACATCGAACAGAGAATGATACAGAGCTGCCAAAAATGAGCAATACCTGAAGGGAAACTTAAAAGAGAGATTTGTTTTGAACTAAGGAGGAAGGAAAACAAATTAAACTACTGTATTTTTTTTCACAAATATGTAGAGAACTCAGGTAGAATTACACCACTTTCATTTGCAAGACAAAAAATAACAAATATGTTAGGAAGTGGGATGGTTTACAAACCAGATGACCAAAAGAACTGTTATGTTGAATGAATTACTGAACATCATACAGTTTTTTTGGTTTATGTTCTCAAATCTAGTGGAGGAAGTAGATTGAACTTTTTGCCCCTCCCAAACACGATGATCACATTTATTTACGGTATTGTAAATACAGAGTTCAGCTGAACTAAAAAATTATACATCAGAAAAGCAAATTTGTTTGGTTTAAAATCAATACAACCAAAAGAGCAATCCATAGTTATCCAATCTGCCATCGAGAATTACATTACCGTGAAAATTCTTCATTTATCAAGGTACCACTTTTTTGTTCATATTGCTCAAAATCTTACCTAGCAAGTCAAAACGAGTTTGTCACACAGTAAATTTATCTTTCAACCATACTCTGCTACATAATTAAACACGAATCATCAAAAACCCTCCACACAAATAACTTGAAGATTAAACCACCACGTGAAATTACAGACCACAGTATCAAGTCCATATAGCTACACTTCACTCCTCTGTCATCTACAGAAGTTTGCTGTGATACCAATTATGCTCAGCCTACACTGGGATTTTTGTTTCTCCTAAGGGAAAAAACGCCTCTCAAACTGCATAAGACAAGTCTTGTTTTACAACTGGCCTGTGATGTTCCCCTGAGCTCTGACATCCAGTAAGAGAAAGAATCCCTCTGAGTTTTTGGGAACAGCATCGTGGAGAATATTCAGAAACAGCAAACACACAAACTCTCTCCTCACCTCAATTCCAGCACTCCCCACACTGAAATCCAACTGCTAAACTTAGGAGTTAACTCGATGCTAAAAAGCACCCCCAGCTTGCTTCACTTACAAGTAGCACCATATTAGATGCTGTAGGTGTAAGAGCTCTTTACAGACAAGTATATCATTAACTATTTGTATTTCAGGTGCCTTATCAGCCTCCTTGAGACAGGAGCCTTACAAGACCAGATGTTTGCAGCCACAAAAGCAGCCTCTGCCCACAAGCATTTACGATCTGCTCTGAGCTCAGCCCATTTCACCCAGTTTTACTGCGAGAGTCAGATCTAAAAAAACCGAGCTCTAAAGCCTAGTAAGTTTGTTACTTTCACAAAAGACATTTCAAACCAGTATTAGATCTCTCATGTCATTTAAAACATAGTTTGTTTGGGGTTTTTTATACATTTGGATTAATTCGGTGATTAAAGGCAGGGCAGAAGCAGCGGCAGCTCCAGGGAAGGGTCCGGTCACGGCCGGGCCAGCGCGGGGACAGCCGCGGGTGCCGCTCCCGCCGGGCCCCGCCGCGCCCGCTTCCCTTCCCTTCCCTTCCCTTCCCTCCCCGCCCCCGGCACGGCGGGAAGCGCGGCCGACACCCACCCACCCACCAACCCGGGCCGCACACACCGCCCCGGCCCCGGCACGACCCCGGCCCCCAGCCCGGACCCGGCCAGCCCCGCTCCCCCCGGGCCGCGCCTCGGCCCCGCGCCGGGCTCGCCCGCAGCCCGCGCCGGGGCCCGGGGGCCGCTCCCGCCCCGCCGCCCGACACCGCCCCGGCCCGGCCCGGCACAGGCCCCTCGCACTCACCCGTCGCCCACCACCACACACTTGATGGCCTGCATGGCGGCTGCTGCGGGAGCGCCGGCCGCCTCCGCCCTGAGCCTGCGAGCGGGGACGAGGCAGCGGCACCACCCAGGGCGGGGAGCAGAGGGCGGGCCGCGGGCGCAGGAAGCGGCGGCCGCGCTCACATCCGGCCCCGCCTGGCCGGGCTGCGGGAGAGGGCGCGGGCGGAGCGGGCTGTGCCGCTGGCCCAGCCCCGAGCGGGCCCGGCCGGTCCCTGCGCTCGGCCCTGCCGAGCAGGGTGTCCAGCCCGGCCCAGCGGCGGGGCCCGGGCCCCGGGAGCGCTGCCGGCCCCGGCCGGGCTCCGCTCAGGGGCCACAGGCTTGGCCTTCGTCCCACACCAGCCCTGTCGCGTCTGTCAAACCTCTCTCAAACACAAAGCTGCCTTTGACACCACCATATGTCCCGTCTTCCACTGCTGGCCCCCGCCATGCCCCAGTCTCGTCCTTGGCATCTCTCGAAGCGTGTTGATGTGCAGTTGTGTTTACCCCACAGATGTGGCGAGCACGTGTAACTCCAGTGACCACCCTGTTCCTACGTGCTGCCCGTTTTCCCCAGCCAGGCACCTGCCATGGGACCATCGCTCTCAGTGGAACAACAAAGTGCAGAGCCAGAACATTTCCCTTCATCTCAGGATCTTCTCCTCCCGATGTGCTGCGACAATAATTAACTCTGCTGGCAAGTTTTAGTCTAGATCAGTCTTTACAAGATGGGACAGACGAATGACTGTCAGGCCTCACAGAGCCTTGGGTTTCATTTTTTCCCCAAACAAACTAGTTATTTTCAGGAAATACTGAAGTAAAAGTCGAGCAGAGCAGGTCCAATGATCCCAAGAGTCTTTTAATTTCTGCAGTCGGTTCCTGCCATAGTTCTGCTTGGTGGAGAAGCTCCTGGTTGGAGTGATGCAAATGAGCACTGTTCCCTTTGTTTGCATTGCCATCTGTTCCCTGAAGGAAGTGTGGGGAAAGGGCCCATGGACACACTGCTCCTGCAAAGTAACGATGAATTCACTGAATCAATAGAGTGTACCATCAGGAGTGGTTTTCCAGGGATTGGATCTCCTATTAATTTCAGAACATTTCCAAATTATTTTGATACCACACAGTGCAACCTCATCAGTGGACAGAGCATTCCACGATATTTACTGTCTTCCATTCTTCTTTCACTGAGCAGAGATAATTCTCAGGTATTTCCCACCAGTGCGGAAAACATCATGACTGTCGCTGTGAACCCAAAGACATTTTTGCAACACTTGTATGTCCATGTTCCCTCACCCAGATGGAAGCTGCAGTGACTTGTCATTTAAGCTGAATGTCCTCAAAGCCAAGACTCTGCTGCTGCCAATGACCTGGCAACTGTTCTCAGGCAGGAGCTGCGGAGGAGAGGTGTGGGCAGCACCACAGTGCTCCTGCTGCTCTTGGCTGCTGAAACAGCTCTTGGGGCCTCTGAGACTGCACAGGAACAGAGCAGCACGAGGAGTGTCTGACTGCTGGCATGGTCCTGGGGAGACACAGAACATGGAAAGATTTGAGGGACATGTAAAACTGCCGCTGATTTTTCCACCACCTACCTCTTCCTCCACTGGTTCGTTCTGATCCAGTGTGTAACAGATGGATGACAAGAGCTTTTTCTATGAGACAGAAGTACAGCAGCATTCACAATATCATTACAAAATACATAACAAAGACAAAGATGAAGGCTGTAGTTGACAAAACACAGTAGCACAAATTGCTTTTACGATCCTGAGAGAAGCATTATATTTTTATGTATGCTCTTTTCAGTGCTCCTCCATCCTATTGTTTTGGGATCAATTGTTTTGCATTGTCAAGAAATTAAAGTTAAAACACAGGGCACGCTTTGATATTTTTTAAATTGACAATTTTATACTGCTTTTGGTATATAATAGAGAAATACCTGGATAAATATTTTCTGTTAGTAATTTAAAACAGTATTACAATTTGGATAGACGATGATCTGGTAACAGATTTAGACCATTTTTCCCCACGTGTTTGTAAATCTTTATGTCCTCAAATATTGATACAAAGGGCCTTTTGGAATGGTTCAAACTTTTGCATTTGAAATCCTAGTTGATATCTCACAGTAACTTTCCCTATTTACCCAGGCAGATTTTCCTTATAATACATGCTGTGTTAATTATTCTATTATTAAACATTACTACATTTCAGTTACATTTTATCCTTGCCTTTATTTTTGTATACCTATTATGTAGTGTCCTTGTTTTTAAAGAGAAACAAATAACTTACACGATGCTACAAATGCTCAGCTCTTTGCAGGTATGTTTTTTTTCCTGAGAATGAGGAGAGAGCAACACAGTGAACATTTTGAAACATTAGTTTCAAAAAGAAAAGGAACTTCGAGAACAGGATGAAACAAGAGGGCAAAGGAGGGAGAAGTCAGTAACAGGCAACTTGAGAGGAAAATGATCAGTTTGATAGGTACAGCTGCAGTGCTGAGTTGTACATGGAATAGTTACAAATGCACCACACAGAGGAGTAGGACAAAAGAACATAATGAATGGCAGGAGCAATAACCAAATATAAGTCTTTCCATAATTATGATAAAATTATGAATCATAAAGTTCAGGCTTAAATCAGCCCAAATATTGCTCCACACTCTACCACCTTGTCTTCTCTCACCAGTACAGTTGTTGCCAAGAGCCTTTTTCTTAGACATTGAGAAGGAATCATTATTTAGGATTGTTTTGGATACTGTCTGTGTGTATTGTGAGTGCTGGCTCTGCTGGAGGATTATTCTCCTTTGTGGCTGGGGAGTGGCAGGGTAATCACGCTGATGCAATACTGGAAAGTTCTGCTCACCATGACACAAACTATCAGCACTACAGAGACAATAATTATTTGCACTTTTATAGTATCTTTCATCCCAAACTATTACTGTGTTCTCTAGCACGCCAGCTCATTAATGAAGCCACAGAGAAGTAGAGAAGGACCAGTACACACACATTGTCCTGGGGAACAAACAGAGCACCTGACAGTAATTCCTGGGTGTGTTCCCCTGCTCCTGGATGACACTTCCTGCTGACACTGGTTGTGCTCAGCTGCCTCCAGGACACAGTGTGTACAATATCAGGGGCAAAAGTAACTGTCTGTCCTCAACAGGAACAGAAAACTGTTTCAGGGGGAAAAGCTGTAATTGGAATTCGGTCCCTGGAAACCAGGGCTCGGACTGAAGTCAATTTTACATGAAGCAAAGGGGTGTCACAAAGTGCCAGAGAGCCCAGTAAGGTTTTCAGCATATTGCACTCTTCTCTCTTTTAATAACTGCTAGTAAAATCATCAGCAAAAATATCCACAAACCTCACCCAAGGAGAGACTTATCTTACCGGAGAAAAACTTTCCCCAGATGTTTTTTCATCTCTAAAATAGCTGACATAATTTTATTTAAAAATTGTCCTTAAGTCTTGATCCTAATTGAAGTTGGTGGCAAAAGTTAGGTGTTCAATGATGCAGTATTAGGGACACAGTAGTTGGTAGAAAGGAGTCTTAATTCTAGACAGCACTAGGCATCCAAAATTCCTCCCTGGACTCTCTTTCCTCCTGTGGTGTTATTTGCCTTTGTGGCCTGTCACTCACTGAGCCCCTCTGCCCTCCCACTTTCAAATCAGGACAGAGTACATATCCAAGGTGTTTGGGCAGTAGCTACCAACGAGCAGCAGCAACCAACGGTTGCCTGAGATTCCAAGTGTTTTGCTTAATGATCTTTGAATTCTTTAGTTGATGTCTCTTCGCCAAGCACAGATTTTTAATTAGGAAAGAGACACTGTTGCTGTGGAGGAAATTTGGAGTATCTTCACTGAAGCTGGGGGGTATTGTGACACACACTGTGACACAAAGTTGATGTTAGAGAATACTCTAATCCACGAGTAATAGCCTGTAATTTCTAGATATTCCAGGCAGACATTTTTTGGCATGATGAGTTTCCTGAGTGTTGAAAAAAAGCCTGTACTCGCATGTGATATGTACAGTGTTCAAATATAGCAGTCACTCTGCTTTAGAGGAACCAAAGCCAACAATAAAAAAGGAACCACAACTTTTAAATGTCAGCATTTGCTGCATCAGAGAGTACAGATGAAAAGAGCATGAAAATAAAATCCTAGTATGTAAATCTGTACATTAATAATAAAGCACCGTAAAACCAATGCACCCCATTCATGTGATACTCACCCAGATGACTTGGCTGGTGTAAGTATTCAACAGAAACAAGTGCTGTATTTTCTTTAGGTAGCTTCTGATAAATATCTCTTCTGTCAAGACTTTCAGTTATAAAACCCACATAAGGCTTTGCATTCACTGATGTCTGCCCTCAGGTTTAGCAAGCAGGAACAGACAGTGCTTCATACAGTGAGATCTGTTGTTGCAGGCAGTGGGAGTACATACAGTAATCCCTGTATATGGCTGGGAGCTTTCTGGAATAGAGACATCATTATGTGTTTATAAACAAGGACCTGAGACTTCTCTGTGTCACTTCAATTTTTTTATCACTGTAACTCCCTCAGCAGAAATATGGGAATAAGCCTTTTATAACTGTAGGCAGCACATCATGCCCTGAGGTGAGGCAGTGCTGAAGTACACACATGTGTAAGCTGCAAGTTCTACCTATCTTGATATCAAACATTTCACAGAAATGAGCCTTAAAATATCAAGAAAAATGATAAAGGTTCAACTATTACATAAGCCCATTTGGTATTACTTGTTTTACTGCCTTCAATTGTCCAGCCCTTTGATTCACAACATTTTTTTATTTTGAATAGAGGAATATTTGAATAGCTGAGATTTTAGGTAAAATGAAATAAAACATGAACAGACTAGAAAAGATAAGGATGTTCTGTGATGCAACAGAGAAAGACAAGTCAGGCTTAGGAAGCAAAAAGGGGATGATGGCATTAAAGTACTGGAAAAGGATCCCTGCAGCCATCAGCCACAAACTGCATGTCAACAGTTTGGAACTTCTGCATATTAAAGTAATCAGTGTTCTAGCTAAACTGAAAATGATTTTACCACCATGACAGAGATGAAATCAAACGAGGAAGTGTGGGATGCCTTTGAGGTTTAGTTTCACTGTCAGAATAATTAGCTAATTTCCAAATCTT